ATATGTTGCAAATAAACAATGTGATTTTCTGGATTTTTTTTCTCATTTTGTCTCTCATAGTTGAGGTATATCTATGATGAAAATTACCGGCCTCTCTCATCTTTTTGAGTGGGAGAACTTGCACTATTGGTGGCTGACTAAATACTTTTTTGCCCCACTGTAAATGGTGTTAACCTTTGGATAAATGTAACTCTACCAAAAGATCGCATCAAAATAACCATATTTCCTGTACGTCCAAATAAAAACTTAATTTTAATGTGTTTTCTGACTTGACTTCTGGCTATCAAGTAGAGGACTGCTTACCTTAAAAACCCCTTAAGTCTCAAAACAAAAGAAATTCATTTTAAAATTCTCAATAACCATACAGAGAACTGTTAAGACAAAGATTTAATTTTGACACTAAAAGTTGTAACTTTTGTCACAATGATATTGACACAACTGACCATCTCTTTTTCTATTGTGAGCCCACTGGAAAATTTTGGGAACACTTTCAGGCCTGGATCTCTACAAAACCTTTCCTTTCCCATCCATAAGAGAGGATATATTATTTGGAACCACCCTCAGACAGAATTTCTGACCTCATATGCAACAGCCTGCTGATCTTTGCCAAATACTTTGTCCACTCCTGTAAATGGGGAAACAGACAACCTGACTTTTCAGCTTTTAAAAGCTTGCAGATGGACAAGCACCTCAGACTTGTTGTAGAACCCTTTTAACCCAGTCGAAATCCAATGGAGGTATTGTTTCAAGAAACATGGTTAAATATTAAAAGTATTTATTCCAGTGATGTTCAACAAAATCATTGATACTAGCACAAATTGCAGAGGAAGATCTCACTTTATATTAGGTCTTTAAGTTCTGGCCATTTCAGTCGAAGAACCCCACTGACAAAGGGACATGGAAGAGAGAGTTTCTGCCGTCTTTCCCTTTTTATTTAAAAGTCAGTCAGCAAGTGTCCCCCAAAGTCCCCAGTCAATATTCTTGGCTTTCTCTTTACAAAACTGTGAGTATATAGTGCTGGACTAGTGGTCAGAGCAGTGCACTTGTGCTCTGAGAAAGTTGCAAGAGCCCGGTTTGATCCCCACAGCTTCCACTTCCACCCTTAACCCCACACTGCTCCCCAGGTGCTGTACAATGGCAGCCCACTGCTCCTCAAGGGGATATGTTAAATGCAGAGATACATTTACTCCAGTGTGAGATCAACAAAGTTATATAATTAATTATTATTCTCACACAGCCTGCAGCATTACCATATAAGATGATGCTGGAGTGGCTCTGGCCACCATATGTCAGCATGAGAATGGCCATTTAGGCTGACCCACAAAGAAGAGTGAACAGATTTAACAGATGTAACAGTTATTTAAAACAGAAAATAAAATAAAAAGAAATTAATTTCCACACAACCTGAAAGAGATGGAAAAAAATGGAGTATACAGCTACTTGAGCCTATGAAGAACTGAAGCTATTTGATGAGAATTAGTGCTCCTTTGTCCCACCCGTAGACAGCTGGAAATAGGCACCAGCACCCATCGTGACCCCGTTTGGGATAGGCGTGACAGAAAATGGATGGATGGATGGATGGATAGTGCCCCTTTGTGTGTATTTAAAAAAAAATCTATTTATGGTTTTATTTCTCTCTCTGGTGTTAATCATCTGTCGCTTTATTTTCTCCCATCTTATAATCTGTGTGCCTTAAACATATAAGACTCCAATTATCCCCTGTTTATACATGCCATATGTTTTTCTTACATTATGTTTGAAAGTTTAAATTAAATAAAAAAAAAGGTCTATGGTTGGAACTTGGCAAACTAATGGCGGAGGAAGCACGAGCATTCAAATGTAAGCTCCACTTGTTTGCTGCATTTTTGTCACACTGGCAGAAAATCACAAGTTAGGAAAAAGAAAAAGTCATAATTTTTCAAAAGATAAGTTACTCTTATTTTTAAGAAAGGGGCACATGTTTGATCTCATGTGAAGCTACGCCATAGAGCTACAGCCATGCATATCAGTTATCACAGTCTTGCCATGGCAACAGCTCCTTTCCTTTCCTCTTTGAGGCGATTCTAATTTATACGTGCTCAACTGTGAGAAACTGACTTCACAAAAATCAAAAAAATCTAAAAGTGACTAAATTAGAGACTGTGGTGTCCCAAATAATTCATATGAAAAAAAAAAATAGTCAAACCAAGTTTTGAATTTATATGTGATTTTTTTAAGCTAATTATAGTCTATGTTCGCGTAGAATTCTGCAAAAATGTGTTTGTTTTTCTTAGATTCACTTCAATTTTTAAAAGTAGAGGAATTATAAAAGATCAAAAACAACAAAACTCAAAAAAGGCAGACGTGCGATGAGTTTTATAAATCAGGTTTTTATCTGCCCCCCCAAAATTTCCAAAAATTAAATGAAGCTAAAAACCAAATCCAACTGCTAGAAAGCTAGAGCACATTTTCTATTTTAAAATGACAAAGCTGCAATAACATATATCACAATAGAAACCATTAAATGTGAAAAGGGATGTATGTGTGAAACAACATGCAATGTAAACTTAAAAAAAAAAAAAGTATAAATATGCTCAGAGATTGCTGGGAATGTTGGACATCTTCTTTTTGGACAGATCTTCAGGACCAAAAGAGTCCGGTAGCAGCTCAGCCACAGTCATCTTCTTGTAGGAGAAGTCAGACTTTGTAAGATAAACCTCCCAGTCACACCCAAACTGTAGCAAAAACAAAGATGAATAAAAACCATAGAAAATTATATGCAAAATTCAGGCATGTCAGTAACATAGCAAACAGGCAAATGAAATCAAGTATGTATGAGACTAATAAAAAAATAATAAAATATGAAAAAGACAAGTAAACCAGAGTCGAGATAGGTTGAAGAGCAACAAATAAAAATGTTTTCACCCTCCATAACCCACAAACTCTTTTTGCACCTTGTGTGCAGCACTCTTTCACTGAAGGAGCTTTACAGATTCTGTTCCAGCTTATTTGCTACTCAAATTATTAAACTATTAGCATGTTCTACCTAAAAGTCAACTAAATAATCACAGCAAGAAGAGAAAAACAGGAAGTGTAGTGAATTGTTTTAGAAGATCTCCTACCTCTCTCATGAACTGCCTGCAGCCACCACAAGGGGAGATGAACTGGTCATTCAAATCACTGAAAGAACATAGTAAAGAAAATGTCCTTAAAGCAAGAAAAAAAGGATTTCCTCAGAAAATCTGAAAATAGTGCTGTTTTTTTAATCAAATACCTGGTCTGATGTGAAACAAGAACTTAATTATTTTTATTATAAGAGCAGAAATAGGATATAACTGTAAAACAAATGCAACAGAAATACTCCTACACTGGTACTATTGAATGGGTACAATTATATTTTAGCAGTAGAGCCATCTATCAGCTAACTGAGCTACAATATTCAAGAAACGTTGATTGGTATTTAGCAAAAAGAAAGGAAGGAAGATTAAGTGAAGGTAAAAATGTGATGTGAGAACCATAATCATCTTAATAAGCTGAAATGTGAGACAAAGCTGTCTGTGTCAAGCATTTTTCATTGGAGAAGTAAATCATTTTCCTGAAAAGGTGTGGTGCGTATTTAACGTATAAATCATGTTAACGATGGACATATTTCCTAAAAAAAATACAAAATTGCTTTTGTTTTGATTAAAGTAATATAGGAAGAGCAACATTTGTGTCTGTGAGAACTTTTTCACACCTCTCTAATAAGGCGCTCTGATCCAATTACAGTAATTAAGGAAATCTCCGATTATGTTCAGGATTGTTACATGCAAAAAAGAAATGAGAAATGAAGTAACTCCTGGCTTAGCAATACAGTAATAAGACAAGGATGATTAGTTATATCCTGTCATACTGGTAGCACCAGTATGACAGGATATAGCTGTATTCTGCAGGCATCAGCTGTTAGTCATAGGTTACCTGGCGATGGCAATGGCTTTGAACTGTCTGAAGCCATCCGACACCGCCTTTGCAATAGCATTCCTTTCGGCACACACTCCCAGATTGTAGCAGGCGTTCTCCACGTTACAACCTGCCAGAGGCACAAACAGATGTAATGTATGGAGCCATAAAGAGAACATCTGTAGGTGAAGAGAACAGGCTTGTTTACTTATTCAGGCCTTTTGAAATAGTAACTCTCTGGGTCTTTGCACTCACAGCTGTTAGTTTGTCATTCACCTCTCAACCTACCCCCCCACCCCCACACCCTCGCCCCCACCCACACACACACACAAGTTATTGAAAACAGGGGACTTTTCAAGCTTTCTGCTGTCCAGTAATGCAGCGGGAGATCTGTGCCTGATACAAGGTGAGGTAGACAGAGGTGCTCGGATGTTAAATGAATCGAAATCATGAGAGGAAGGATAGGATTCAGTCAGATCATGACACCCGGTCACCCGAGAGGATTATTGATTGATAGACTGAAATATAATCCTCTGAATTTTGTACTAAGTTGACTTGCAGGTAATAATTAACATACTTAAGTAGGATAAACTTCAGAAGAAAAACTAAATTTTTAAGTTCTAAGTTTTGAAGCCTCATTCTAAGAGTCAGAAATGCAGATTGAACACGATGTACTGATCATTTTATATGAGTCTCCTCAAATCAAATTTCATATCTGTTCATTTTCGTATTTGTTGACACATACAACTTACCTAGAAACACACGGTCATCGAGGGTCCGGAGTGCAGCTCCCACTCTGAATTTGCTGTATGGAGAGTAAGAAAACTTTTTGGCTTCATGAGATTGATGGATCAGATCTTTAACTTCCTCCTGCGACAAACGTGAGACCTCCTGTGTGGACTTGACTCCATCCATGCTGCCTTTTTTTTTATTCTGATAGGTTGTTTCTACGTATCTGTATCAGACTGATGTGGTCGGGCTTTAAATGTGAATGGGACAGAGGGAGAGGGAGAGAGGGTGCATTCACAGAGCCAATCGTCTGCTGGAAAACAAACTTAACGTGCTGTCATGAAGAAAAGGGGAGGAGGTTTGGTTGGTGTAAGATTTATTAAGTATTATAGGACAGGTTGTGACGAAAGAAGCTTTGACGTAAAAGCTGAACGAATTACCAACAACATTGCTTACACAATGCTTCTCCAGAAAAGGACACACAGTTAAAGTTTAATGTGAAAATGAGAGTTTTTTTTTGTACACAAGCTTACTTTTTATCCGAACTTACTGTTTTGAAGGCAATGCAAATATACAGTTAGTAGAAGTTATAGTCATTGGAGATATTTGGTTTTGAAGTTTAAAGATAAAAAGAAAATTGCATTTAAAAATAGCTAATTCTGCTCATATTTCCTGTTGTTTAATTACGTCACTCATTTGTTTTAGTTATTTAATTATAGACTTTAGAATACCAGTTTTTGCAACTAACATTTTAGTCTATTTTATTTCATCATTTTAAAAAGTCAATCAGATGTTATGAGTTACTCGGCACTTGACTACTGTAGGTATTTTACCAAATATTTATTTACTCTTATTTGGGTAAAATTTGTGGATACTCTACCTGCGTCTGTTTGTCCGTCCATAACACAGAGTTTCCCAAACTTTTTGACCTGAGTACCCCTTAGGCCATTTTTTCTTACCATTTGTCCCACTCTCAATCAAAAGTGTTGATGATTGTCCAAAAGTGGAACGTACAATAACTGAAATGAGGACAAGTTTACTTAATCTTTTAGTTTGAGCACTTATTTTTTAAATAATTTTATGTTTTTCATCTCAAATAAAAAAAACAACAACAAAATAAATATGTTTCCTAGAAGTTAGTAAGGAATAAAAAATAAATACAAAATAGAATCTACCTGTATTTATACGCTGGAGCTCCTCTGTCATGATTCTGAACTGGGAACAAAATACTGAACAAAAATTATAGTCAGACTGACTTAATTAGTTTAACTTAGTTTTTTTTATCAAGTCACCTGAGCTGCTTTAAGGAGCTCTGATAGCTCAGTGTGAAAAACAGTCGATCGCAGGCTTTTCTCTACATGCAGTCTGTTCATCTGCTTGGTTTTGTTCTTTGCGGAAGCTGCAGGTGAACTCAAACATACAAGATCAACTTACTTTTTGGTTGATCAGAATCAGAATCAGAATCAGAATCGGGTTTATTGCCATTGTTAGTGAAGGAGTTCACAACTAGGAATTTTTTATGGTACAAAAAGTATGGTATAAAAGCTTGCTTAATTTTTCAATTTGTTCCTCAAAAAGCAGAACAGATCTGAACCCTATTTCTTTTACTACCTATTTTCATGTAAGCCTTGCAATGCATGTATTTATTTTTTTCATAACATCCCAGTTGTTTCGGTGTTACTAAGTTATTATTACTGTTTTATTTGCCTTGCCTTAAAAAGTTGCTAGTTATTTTTTCATTGTACTTTTTTTCTCTGATTCTAATAAATGACACAAATAAAAAAAGTATAGTTTTCAAATTGCTGTAGTGTTCCAGCAAAAACTTGTCTTTCATCTAATTGTAACTCTGGAGGAGCTGCAGATATCCACTGCTCAGGTGAAAGCCTGATTCTCTGAGTATCTGCCAGCTTTTAGACCATATATACATTTTCTGGGACAGCCAGAAGTTAAAAAATTCTGGAGGAATGTCAAGAAGATTGAAGATACAATAAGAATGGACATTTCAATGGACCACCTCATATTCCTGGCTGATCTGATGTGTTGTTGAGGACCAACAACATATTTTACATTTCATTCTATTGTGTAATCAGCATATAGCACTGTATATACTATGTAGGAGTTAGCCATCCATAATAAACATCTAAGTATTCCTTTGTTTATCATTTATCTGAGTATAAATTCATTTATATATTCATTCATTGTATTTATTCATTTATTTATTGTATGTGTTCATATTGTTGCCATTGTAGGGTAATAAACCTACAACATATTTCAATCTGAAAAACTCACACAGACAGAAAAGATAATTAGAAGAATTTATTGATAAGAAAGTATAGTCTTTGGCGCTCAGACCTCGGCAGGAACATTCATGCTGAATTATGCTTTAACATGCATGAGTAGATGAATGTGAATAGGGATGTTCCCCCCGGCCAGAAACTGGTGGTGGTTTGATCCGAGCTGGTTGACAAGGTGATCTGCTGGGCAGAATTGTGGGACTAGAAGACTGAGGGAGCTGACGCCGGGGCTTCACTCAGACTCGGGATATAGAGGTCCTGCTCGGTGATGCAGGTACCGTGAACTGTCCATGATGAGCAAGCATGAAGCGACAGTGGAGAGGAAAAACTCCCCTTTGGGAAGAAACCTCTGGCAGAACCGGGCTCAACATGGTGGTCTTCTGCCGGACCAATGCGATGAGACGAGGGATGGTGACAACTGGGATTAATACTCTCTGATGAGGTTGAGGTGAAGTCGTGTCATGAAGGACGATTCAGCTGCGATGGCGGAGAAGGGGATGGAGGTGGGTGAATTGTCGTCTGAATCAAAATCCGACATTGCGATTGCAGGATAGCGGCTGGGGTGAGATTTAAAAGGAGTTTATAAAGTGGAAGCAGGACGCTGATTGGGCTTCGTGCTGGAGTAGTTCGAAGCTGATTGGCTCGCTTCGGAGACGGATCAGCTTCTGATTGATGGAGGTAAGTCAGAGTTTCTTCAATTGAACTTCCGCTAGAGCTTCATTTTTATTTGCTTTCAAGGTATAATGTAATGTTAGTGTTAAATAGTAAGTCATACATTGTTAAATGTTTTATTTTTTGGTAAAAATCTTTATGATTGAATTAGTTTTGATACTATGTCTAAGTTTTATCTAATGACAGTAAACATAAAAAAGTGTTGCTTATTAACAAAACAACTATAAAGTATGTAGATATGTATTTTTTCTTGTCCATGTTTCACCTTAAAATAATTTAAATGACAGAAAATAGACAATTCTGTTTGAAAAAAGTTTTTTTTTTAGATTCTTTTAAAAAAAGAAAAGATTGTAAGGTGGATAAAATCCCACACAAAAATCATTGATATTATACGCTGAAAATGCATTTATTTAAGTTATTAGGCTTGTGGTGGTGAATCTGTTATACTAATATCAATAATCTTAGTTGGATTCTTTGAAAAGAAAAGATGTACAAAGTGACACTCTGTGAGTTATGTCTTTAGGTCGATGTATACATGTTTATTAAGAAAAACTGTCAAAACAACCACAGAAAAACCTTTCAATTTTCTTTACCAATATAAAGATTAATCTCTGGAGTGTCTTCTTTGGCCTGGTGGGTGGTTAGCTGTTCTGAATGGCCCAGTCGATCCATGACACATAGTTTCTCACATTACTGTAGACGCCGGGGTAATAAGAATAGGCACACCCAATGCCCCACGATACAATGCCTTCCAGTTGGCCGTTGCAGACCAGCGGCCCTCCTGAATCTCCCTGCAAAGGGCATATAAAGGGGATATAATTGGTAAGATGAGGTTTATTTTAAATATTGTGACAATAACCCCTGAACTGTATGCTACTGTAGCAGTTCTTCATATTGTGGTAACCAGCAGCTGTCAGGTTATTTTACTTTGAAATCTTATGACAAATAACATTAGTGTATAAAGTTTGATAATATCTTCATTGTGCTTAAAGCTTCTTTCACAGAATTATCTGGTTAATGGAATGAAATAATGAGTTAAATATTCATTCTAACCAGCAACAGTGGAATCAGTTTTGTATTTATTATTATTATTTTTTTTATATACCAAGAAGCAAAAAAAAAAAAAGAAAAAGAAAAGAATAAAGAAATTAAGTAAAGCAGCTCTACTGCAGCCCCACCGCTTTGGAGCTGTGACGTAGCTACTGACCTGACAGGAGTCTCTCCCTCCTTCATGGGACCCAGCACAGATCATGTTTTTTGTGATCCTGAAGTAGTAGTAATACCAACACTCTGCGAAGTAATCCACATCTACAGACATCAGTTCAGGAGACAAGCTTTGGCCATAGACCCAGGTGACCCCCCAGCCGCTGACTGTGCACCGAGCAAAATCCTGTAGAGTGCCCGTCCGGGGCAAAACAACTGGGCTCACCTTTTCATTGATGACAGCAGGGCGGTCCAGCTGACCCACAGAGGAAAACAGCCTCAGTTAGTCATCATAAAAAGCTGCTCCTCAGTAACAAACCAATGATCAATGTTACTTTTGTATAATTCAGCCTGTTTAATTTGTTTTAGAATTTTCGGGCTGCAAAAGGTGCAGACAAAGATGAAAAAACCTTGCAGCACTTTAAAGATGTTTCTGTGAGTTTTGAAAAGTGAATAAAAAGCAGCTGCTGAATTAAACTGATGATGCCATTTCTTTGTTGCATTTCTTTGCAATAAGAAACATTTTCCCTAAAATATTAGACAAGGTCCTTACTGTGTTGCAATCCAATTAAAACAATGAATTTACATCCATCTGTAGAATAACCTCAACTGTCTTACTACTGATATTCATAAGTGCATTTTCTTCTGCCCAAAATTCTGTACATACTTTATTTAAATATATTACAGATAATTCATCATAGAGCACGCAGTGCAATATGAATAGATTGAATGTAGAAAGGACATAAATAAGAATATGCAAAAAGGCAAATAATACAACAAAAAATGATGTAATGTTTCTACACATTGCAGTTCAAGTATTTCCAGGTTTTTGTCTAATGCTCTATGATAAAATGCCACAGTTTGTATCCACTCTTTGGCCTCTTTTATCCCATCTCTGATTTATTATAGTCTAAAAATCCTCCTGTATACTGTTCTAATTCCTTACTCAAAATAATCACATCCCAACCAAAACGTTTCTCTTTGCGTGATCTGCCCCTGGGTTTTCTACCTTAAGAAGCATGATGTCATTGTCCAGGTTCCAGTAATTAAACTGGTAATGTTTGATGATTAACAAGACGTCAAATATTTGCTCGAATCCCTCTTTTGTTTTGATGTTGTGCTCCCCCAGGACCACTTTGATCAACTCATTTCTGCAGGGACAAAAGAAAAAGCATGCAAGATTATCGTTGCTTCATGTCGTTTCTCTCTGTCAGATAAAAAAGCAGACAATGATACACTTTGATGGTTGTGATTCGCATTAACTTGGATATATATTAATATTTATGTAGTAGGTGAAGTTGGACATCTGCAGTAACTTACGGCCTCCAGCAGTGGGCAGCAGACACCACCCACTGAGGGTGAACCAGGGTGCCACCACAGAAGTGGTGGCCTCTGAACAGGAGAGAGGCTTGATATTTGATAGAGTAAGGCTCCACCACTGTGCCACCAATAATTCTTTGATCATTCTCAACTAAAAGAGAGAAAGAAAAAAAATAAAATAAAAATGTTTTCCTTGTATTTTTATCCACAGGAATATCCTGTCAATAAAATAGATATATTATTTCTTACCTGCTAGATTGACAACAATCATTGCAAGCAGAAAGATTAGACAGAAGGGGGCCGGATGCATCATATCAGCTACTATATCAAATACAGATAATATAAAAACAAGTCAAGACAAAATTTCCAATAGTGAAAACAATGAGAAGGACTCTTTATAACATCATTATTTTAGTTTAAGCTGCATAATTAACCACAGATTGTTTCCACACAGCAGCAACAACATGATAATCGAATGTATAAAATGTGCAAATAACAGTATACAATGAAATGTGACATAACAGAGTAAAATATGATGCAACGGAATGCAAAACGTTAAATGACAGGGCCACATTTACTTTGATGTCATAAATGATGTTTCGAATATTTCCAACACAGCATTATTAAACGTAGCATAAATGTATAAAGTGCAAAGTAAATAAAAAAAATGCCCTTACATTTTAGAACAGAGCTCAATAAAAGCTACGTGATGTAGAGCAATATAACACCAGCTAAAATAACAATATATAACTTCATGTAACATAAAATGACCGCATAACACAGCATTAACATAATATGATAAAACATGACATAACCCTGATGTAATGTTCACTTTTTAGAAGAGGCCTAACCAGATGATATGGGACTCATATTTGACAGAGAATTTATAAAGAGAATTTAAGATTATGGTGATGACAAGGACGCCGTCCAAATGCCAATGATTAAGCGTCAAATACCAATAGAGACATGTGAAAAGTAGGCAAGCATTTATGAGAAGCGTTTGATAAACTTACTGTCAATAGTTAACAAATTGAGGGGGTATGATATAAATAAAATGCAACAAAAAAAAAAAAAAGTTACATAGTTTTACTATTATTGTATGATCAAAGTGAACCTTCAGGAGTATTCGGGTCATCTGGTTTATGTCTTCTACTCTGCATGTACAGTGTTAGAACCAAATACACAGCAATTATGTTTCTCTAATCCAGAACAACCCCCCCAAAAAAAAGATAAGATAAGATAAAATCCAGAGTTGCTTTATGATGTCCTACTTAATATTTTGAATAAAAGATCAGCAATTTCAGTCTATAGTCCAACTTTTCTTTGTTTTCTTTTTTTATGTTACTGAAATATAAACTGTTTTCTGTTTTCTTAAGTTGTGTTTCTGTATAATGAAGGACTTTAAATTGTCCTGTTCCAGAAATGTTCCACATAAAAGAACATCCCGTGCCTTCTTATTAGTACATAGATAAATAAATAAATAAATAAATATGATTTTAAATTTTAAACCGTTTTATAATAATTTAAAAGCTGCCTCACCTCATCAACAGTTGCATCAGAAACCACCTCCTTCCTTGACATATAGCATGGACTAATAGAATCCCAAACATCAGGAGAAGTCTGAGACTCTCAGGACCCTTTTATACTCCAAACAAGCCTGTCCTCGTATTATCTCTCACCATTATTAATGTCTCTGTCACAATCAGAAAGTAGAGAGTCTGACCCAGTACAAGAAGAAAAAAAAAACCTCACTCCATCCCTCTCTTTTATTACACCTTTTCCTTCAGGGGCCTTTGTTCGCCCAACTTCAGCTTATTGTTCAGCGTTGCAGATAAAGCGAATCTTTGCAGACAGGTAACCCAACAAGCCAGAGAGATGATAACCTATACTTGTTTGACATGGTGTTTTTATATCCAGCGATGTTATGATTGCAGCCATTCTTTTCTTGAACAAGAAGAAGCTCTTTGCTCCTAGTCTTCCAGTAAAACTTATCAGTGAGCAAAACTTCAAAGCCTCTTTGTCGGTCTCACACTGAGTCATGATCTAAATGATTATCATGTTTAAGATGAGGAATATTTTAGATCAAATATTTGTGTTTCTAAGCTGTGATTCATTCAAACATTAATTTTTTTTCCCCATCAAAACCTGACTGATCTTCTTTTGTTTTTTTCATATATTTACATACAGAGTTTTCATCCATACAGGTGTTTGGTTTGCAGCTCCTAGCCTACATACAGTCGGCACTCCCCAAGGTGTCATTCCACCTGTGAGGGTGGAAGCTGATAGCATGCTCAGCTTTCCCTCAGGTGCAAAGTTGCTGTGGCAAACAGTATGCCTTTGTGCCTGGTGTGGTTATTACACAGGGAATGAGGCAGAGGCCTTAAACAAAACTCTAAACAAGGCTTTTCTTTTGTGAAAAATCCTAAGCAACTATGTCCTGATACAACATTTTACTTTTAGATGCAATGTATTGCAGCTTTGTCCTACACTAATATTGACCGTTACTATATCAACACAAATCATACATATTTCTATCGCTTGTATTGTAGTTTGAAATGTTAGAAAAGGCTTGATTATGTCCCAGTAATTAAACAGAAAACAAAAGTCAAAAAGCAATGGGTTACATAAACTGAAGCAGAGTGTTTTTTATTAGGTTGCTCAAATCAGAGATTTTAGCTGAAGGCTTATTTATGGTGATTTATTTGTCTGATATTGAATCTGTTTATTATATCAGGATCAGAACGAAAAACCCCTACAACTAACACTGTTTTGCCCAGAGTTGAGTTGACTTCTAGAAAGATGTACCGTAGTAGCACTACGTTATCACACTCTTGTTAAGTAAAGGTAAAAAGTAGCCAAGAATTTTACTCAAGCAAGAGTAGAAATGCATTTGGTTTAAAGGCTCTCGAGCTTATTTGACATCTACAAATGTTAAGTTGGCCAAAAAAGGCACACTGCAAAAACAACAAAAAAAATAAGTAAAAATGTCTTAAATTAAGTGTATTTATCCTTAATTTGAGTCGGTAAATGAGATAGTTTGCCAATGGAATGAGTATTTTTACACTTAAAATAAGATAATTGGATAAAATGCACTT